GATACGAAGTGACCTCGAGCTTCACTCCGCCGAAATGAGGATGCTGAGATGGGCCTGCGGCTGGACGCGACTGGACAGGGTCAGAAACGAGGATGTCAGAGCGGTCATGCAGACTGCCCCTGTCCAGCTGAAGGTGAGGGAACAGCGTCTGCGATGGTATGGGCATGTGCTAAGGAGGCCACAGGACCACCCGATAAGGAAAGCGATGGACTTCGAAGCGCAAGGCAAGCGACCGCGAGGAGCCCCAAAGAAGAGGTGGAAGGACGTAATCAAGAAGGACCTAAGTGAAATCATGGCCACGCAGAAGATGCCCTGGACAGAGCGAAGTGGCGAGGGTGTGTCTCAAGTGGTACGAATGGAAATTTAGCACCTAATTAGTGCTGCGTCGCGACGAGGTGCGAAGTGACCTCAAATTTTGGCACCTAATTAGTGCTGCCTCGCGACTAGGCGCCAGCTACCTGTGGGCGAGACGCGCCGTACATGTCCATAATGGTGCAAAAGATTAGTGAACAACGATTTTGACGGGAGAAAGGCGATTTTACATAAATCTGATTATTTGCCCATTAACACTAGTTTTTAATCTTCTGACTCTTGTGAAGAGATATCCAAAATATGTTCAAATCTCATAAGCAGCTATATGTATAGGTTATTAGTTATGTATCTAGACATTCTTCTACAATACGAAGCAATTTGATCGGAGGTGGTTCCTTCCTGGTAAACCTTGTCAAATTTGTAAAAAATAATTATGTGCGCGTGTAACGCCCTCGCCTTCTGGGGATCCTAGACGAAAATCGTAGATATGGGTAGCGTGGGCAAAACTATTTTGCATTTCTGTGATGCTTACATATTTCATTTCAGACGTTTTCAGACCTTTTTGAGTCATATGTGAGGTGTAAGGGGTCAAGGCCTCTCAGTTAGCCAGCCGAATGGTAGTTATTGACTTTCAGAAATATTTCTTGCAATTCACTTTCTCCATAAACCGATCTCTTTACAGGAGTCAGAAGATCAAAAACTAGTATTAATAAATCATCAGGGTTTATCTAAATCACCGTTCTCCCGTCGAAATCCTTGTTCAATATTTTACACCATTACCGGACATGTACGGAGCGTCCTGCTCCACAGAAAGCTGGCGCCTAGTCGCGAGGCAGCACTAATTAGGTGCCAAAATTTGAGGTCACTTCGCACCTCGTCGCGACGCAGCACTAATTAGGTGCTAAAATTTCCATTCGTACCACTTGAGACACACCCAAGTGGCGACGACTGATAAGAACAGCGGACCCTGCGACGGCGCGGGACTAACGCTAGGACGAAGAAGAAGATTCAAATGATAATAACTTTCTTCAAAGTGAACGAATTTTCAATCTGAAAGCAGATTTGGGAGTTTTGTGAAGAGCTCTTTCTAATCAGTATTGAAATTACAAAAATTTATAAGAAATAACAAATTTAGATCAATTAACGAGGAAAATTCATGATGAGCACGAGTTTTTACACTTTCCGAAGCATAACTTGCTTCATTTCCGTCAAATTCAAAAAGTTGATACGTCATACAAAACTAGAAGATTTTCTCTATCAAACGGTCGCTAAAGCAGCTTCATACGTCCAGTACTCAAAAAATGGCCACGTTGAGGATTTTTGCAAAATTAACGAGGAAAATTCGTGATGAGTGCGAGTTTTTACGCTTTCCAAAGCCATAACTCCGTTCAAACTCATCCAATCTGAAAAGTTAATACGTCATCATAAACTAGAAGATTTGCTCTATTCAACGGTTACTAGAACTGCTAAATACGTCCACTATTCAAAAAATGGCCACGTTGAGGATTTTTGCCCGAGTACCGCCGCAAGGTACCTTTCGCTGCATTGGCACGGGCACCCCCAGGAGGCCCGTCGCGCGGCAAGAAGGCAGAGTCGGCGGACGAGTTGCAGCGCGTGGTGTGCGATGTAGGACGTGCAGTGGGACACTCTATTTAACTTGACGCGAAATCCCTATAGTACGCGCGCGACTCGTCCGCTGACTTTGCCTTCTTGCCGCGCGACGGGCCTCCTGGGGTGTACTCTATTGGTACTACTTCATCGACTATAGCCGCTACTGGAGGCAATTTTTTACAAAAGTAGGAGCAGATTCGAAATCCTCGTGCTTTTCTCTTTTCAGAAGTGTAAAATTGTTTAGCGTATCTCAACTTTAAAGGTTACATGCTTGTGAATTTGACGCTGAAGGCTGCGTTTCTTGTTGAATAGTGTACTCCTCCCTGTAATTTCACATGAACCCTTTCAGAATCCTCTTGATTCTTCCTGAATTGAGATTCTTTCTCCAGAGAGCCGTAGTTGAAGCGCGCAACCAACTGGGCCCACTGGGCTAATCATGCCATCGCTTCACTGCTTTCTTGCGGTCCGTCAGGAGGTTACCATTTTCGTCATTGATGCCGAAAAACTTCTCGATGTCCTCGGACTGGCGATGGCGGGCTTTGGCAAGTCGATAAACATAGCGTTCACCATCGCGCGTCTCGAGCTTCTCGCTAACATCGGCAAAGTGAGCAGCTTTTGCGGCAGCAACGGCCTTCTTTGTCGCATTCTTAGCTGCCTGATAACTCCGCCAGTTGTCGACAGTCTTATCGCCAAGAAATACGTGGTATAGCCTCTTCTTCTCACGTACTTTTTCTTTGACATCGTCCGTCCATAGCCACGTTGCTTGTCGATCTTCCGTCGCCCAGGTTTTGTTGTGCCGAGTTCGGAACGAGCAGAACGGATTATCGCCTCGGCAGCACTTTTCCAAGTTTCATCAACAGTAGTGACTGCCGGCAACTGAATGTTGGATATCACGACCGCCTCCTTCTCTTTCAAACGCCACCACTTGATTCTCGCTGGTCCACACCGCTTCGATTTGTTTCAATTTCGGAGGAGCGATCTTCAGCGTGCAAATCAGTGGTCGATGTTGCGTGGTGACCGTCTCATACGGCACCGCCTTTGCGTCTGTTACGAGCCCTCGATCGCGTTGCCTGACGAGGACAAAATCGATTTGCGTTCTGGTAGTACCGCTATAGAAGGTGATGAGGTGGGAGTCACGTTTCCGGAAATTTCGTGTTCACGATGGTGAGATTGTGCGAGTTTGCATACTCAAGAATTCGTTCGCCATCGGTGTTACGTGACCCATATCCAAATCCACCATGACAGTTGTAACCGTCTTTCGCAGCGCCGACGTGACCATTAAGGTCACCTGCGACAATGACAGCCTCTTCTGACGGTACCTCTGCGGTCTTTTCATCCAGCAGGTCCAGAACTCGTCCTTGGCTCGCTCAGAGCAGCCAGTCTGCGGAGCATATGCAGAGAAGAAGTGGTATCGCTTACGTTCGATGACGACAACAATCTTCATTAGACGGTCGTCGAAGCGATCAACGCTTACGATCGAGTCACGGAAGCGGTTCAGAAACAACTATCCGACCCCACTGGTGGTTCTAGGGACCGCCACAAAGAACGGCTTTGAAGCCGCGGCCAATATCTCCTCGATCTTGCAGCAGGACCACCTCGTTTCCCTGCACGGCACAGAAATCAATTCGTCGGCGCTCTAGAGCTTCTGCTAACTCGTACGAGCGGCCCGTCAACGTGCCAACATTTAACGTCGCAACGCGAATCTTCCATACGTTGCGGACTTTTGGACTAGCCTAGTTGCCCCCCGATGCCGTCCTTGCACCGGAGACCCTCATACTTTTCACACTCGCCGGGCTTTGCGAGTGCGCGTCGGCTCCCGCGGACGCCGTAGCATTATCTCGAAATCATTAGCGACATTAACATTTGTGATGTGACGTGGGTGTTCGTAGGCCGGCCTGTCACGGGGGCCTGTCGCCTGCATTCGAATGTCCGCGATCAGCTCAGCTCACAAAAGTGAGCAGTTCCCAGTGGCACCACTTGGAGGAGCGGACCCACCACCACTGCCTACCCTCTTCTTCCTAAGCGCAAACTCATTCCCTCACGCTTGAGAAACCGCGCCGGCGCGAGGTTCCCCCCAACTAAATTAATACCGCCATACCTATGTACGGATACACTATATATTTTCTTTAATTGATTGTGACTTATCTATTACATGCCAAATGTATTAGTCATTTCCCTTGCAACCTCAGGCAATGTTTCAACGCATCCATCTAGGCAGAGGTAAAACCTTTCCCAACCTTCCTAACTTTCAGCTCGTAGATTTGAGAGATTTAGATTGATAAAGACAACGCCGGAGGGTCATGTCAAGGCATTCTTGAAAGGGGGAAATTTAAAAAAATTGAAAGGGAAAAATTCCGAGGTCGGTCAGAGTGCGACAGTTGACGTTATTTGTATGTATCATCTCTTCACCTCTTCCGTATGAGATGAACATGGTGAGTTTTCAATTGTTCTTCCTTTACACTGAAATAGCTTCACACGTGATCGTTATTCCATTAACATCATTGTACAACGCTGGTTATGAGAAAGCAGTAAAGGAGTAGTGTTTTCAGAAATGCTCCCTAAACAATTCACTCAGTATTATTCATTGCAGTCGAACATCGATCAATATACATATACATATCAAATAATGCTGAATTTGAGCGGCTCAGTTTTTGGACTACTGTATCGCGGACGCTCCTGAACAACGCACGGTGGCGTTTCATTGCGTATAAGCTCATCCTCAAATTTTGCATTCCAGAACGAACAGCCAACTGAAATTTTTTCTTAGGTCGCTAACGGATTTTTCAGCACAAACAGCTCGGAATCCAAAACTTCTGCTACGTCGTCATGTTCTGGACTGTTTTCTCACAGTTTTCTTTTGGTTTCTACACTGTTTCATAATTATAAGATCACTCTGAGAGAAGGAACAGTTCATTTACTATCTTGCTTGAGAGCGACATCGAAGAGCCTCCGCGGCATACAAGGAACTAGTTTTGAAGCATCCTTCATCACTTCCTTCTCATGCTTCATTGACCCTATTACAGCTCGTATTTACCATTGAATCGGCGGTTATTCACACGAACTTCCTAGTAGTGATGCCCCAGATGTTTCTCATGGGATTAGCTCGGGATTTTTAGACCGGCCATGTCGGGGTGCTAATGTTTTGGGAATGCTACCGGCCAGTTCTCCAGACACGTACGTGATTGGCAATGTTTTGTTAAGAGATATAGTTCAGACGATGCTGCCAGCTCCGAAAAGAAACCATATATTTCAAGAATTCCTGGTGACTGGTTGGATACATTCTGTGTCACTGAGGAGAGCATCGCTATGTACAACATTATCACAAGTAAGCAACTAGAACTTTCACACCGCCTCCACCAAAATTACGAGCTCTAAATTGAACGTTTGCCTTTGCAGGTGCGCCAAAGGCGTCGGTGTTCGTGAAGACTGCCTGAACTGACCTTATTCGGAAACAAAACCCTATCAAAATGAGTTATCTAGCTGTGTTGCGCGATTGTAATACAGGCCTATCTTCATCCATTTCATATTAAAGTTTGAGTATTAGAGTCGACTTTTCCGTCGTAACCACTAAGCCTTGGGTCATCTTCGCTGACTTTTTGGCGCTGATTCTTTTGTTGCTCTCTGGACCGTATTTCGACACACAAATGTAAAGCGATTGGAGAAGGTGCTCGAAACAGTCCTCAAAATTCCTCTCATTTCGCTGGTAGTAAACTTACGTGAGCGTCCAGCACTGGTATCTTATCTGGAAGCATGGGAACACTTCAAATATCCTTCAACTGACCGACATGTTCGAGTGATTCTTGTGCCGAAACCAGCACCTTGTAATGAGTGAATTCCTCCGAAAGACCACACGAGGCATTTCGACGAAGTAGTTCGAAGATGTGTCACTGACAGATGTTTTCAGTTTCAGGCTTCTGTTGATCCATATAAGAAGTTCCTCTCCTCAGCCGGTTTTTAATTATGGAAATGTGCAAAACCCCAAAAACTGTTACGAAAGCTCAGAAGAATGACGCTGTTGCTGAAATCCAATCAGGTTCTTCATGCCGGGCTGCTTATTCTGGAAATGCTAAACTTAAGGGTGAAGTTGTAATTATGAAACGCACTGAAGAAAATGACGACGATGAGGCTACGTTCAATAAGTGTAAGGTAGGGTAACTTGCGAGAAGAAAGGAATTGATGGAGTGATTGAAATCTGTGTGCCCAGATATTAAGTAAGTGTATACAGTTAAAACAGAGGTGTAGATCATTTGTAAAGAAGAGTCTCAACGGGAGAGGCTTTTAACGTGTGGACCTCAGACGTCGGTTGCCCGTCATCACCACATCCGGTCGTTCAGCACTGAAAGCATATATTCTTATGTAAATGGGAAGTTGACAAATGGATACATTAGTAGGTGTGATGGTTAGGGAGGTTTCAAGCACGGTAGGTTTCCAAAAAGGCTAGAGCCGAGCATCTATCAACCTACCGTAGCGGTGTTAGTAGTGCTGTGGTCGTGAGACAGGATAGTTGTCAGCAACGTATCTGGAAACGGTATCTTGTGTTGTTACAATGAATACATGCTGTACGGCATTATGGAGCGCTAATTGAGCACCTGGACTACAATCGATTGCGAATTTTAAGACCTCTTTGAGACGACTGCATCATACTGGAGGGAT